GCCCTGTGTATCGTTATGATGTTATCGGGTTCTTGTTAAGTTTATAAAAATTTAGAAAAAAAAAATTTAATATGCAAAAACAATTTTGATTATTATAATATGTTTCAATATCAATTTTATTTCCAATACTAGTAAATAAATGATATAATATTAGCCGTAAGTTCTTTTGGCTGCGCTACGATTAATCCATAATATTTCAAATTTATTCCTGAATCAGAGTGGAAACAATAACTGGATTTTTATTAGTGTTCTGTGTAATATTTTTGTAAAAATAAGTAATACATAATATATAATGTTGCTGAAATTACCGATAGCAAAATTTTTCGGTTCAACATTGTTATCTAGCGTCTGGCATCTTTCCTTTCTCCTCGACGGTGTCATGTTTCTCTTCATCAAGAGTTAGTCCAGTTCAAGATTATCAAAGTTTTAATATTTATTATGTTCTTGGAGCATTTCTCGCAAAGTTATTTTCCTTGTAGGCGGCCATTACATTATTTTACTATGTCCTCAATTTATAATCATTACAAATATGTATTGTTCACAAAGTTAATAAGGTGTTATTGAACTTAATTTTAATTGGTGAACCTGTGGTGCTATGTTTAATTAGAAAAAAAAATTGAATTTTTTGATATTCTTAATTTTAATTATTTGACTCGCTTAAGATTATATACCTAACTTAGAAAAATAACTATAAGTTAAATGAACACTTTCTATATAAAATCTAAGAAAAATTTAAGATTCACGTATTATATATATATATATATATATATATATATATATATGTATATGTATATACATTTTTTGAGTATATGTCCTTTTTTTACTATACTTTACCGAAAGCGTGGACAGTGTTATTTATCCCGGTAGACTAAAATAAGTAAGTAAAGTAACAGCCTATACACGTCCCACTGCTGGGCAAAGGCCTCCAAACTCAAGGCAGCTCGAGTATATTGAATTAAAAGCGAGCGCCCGCACACTGAGCTGAACACTGAACAAGTATCACGGGTATAGTAAAGCACCGACTTTTTGTTCTATCAAAATTAAAAAAAAATGTGTTCTTGGAAAAAAGTAAAACTTCAATATAATTCCACGACTCGGTCTGTTTATTTATTACTAGTCTGTTATAAATCACGATAAACGGGGAAACTTGAGCGTGACAAAGGCGAATTTATACGAAAATTATAAACGATACAGAAAAAAATTCTCTAAATATTCTAAAATTAAATAATAATTCCTTTATATTTCCGATTGATAATCCCATGATATTACAGCGAAACACTCGTCCATAGAAGCCATGACCCAGATCCGATTGCGCCGTCTAACAATGGCCCCAGCCGCAATGCACCTGCATACGCGTAATACGTGGCTGTGCCGCTAATTTATGCATGTATGTGGGCGTGTGTCACATTATAAGCTCATTATTTAAATACTATCGCTCTATATCGCATCGAGGCTTACGTCGAACGAAAACTGGCTGTACTTATAACGATCGTTACTTCAATACGTCATTGGATATCGCGTGCGAATATTTCTTTTTTTTTTTTGGCCGTCGAATCATATCTTTACAATAACTCGATATCTAGCCCTTGACTTATAAAGCATCTCATTATAAGTAGTGATGTAACCGCTGACCGTGAATGCACTAGCTCGGTAAAAATCTGATCACTCTCGCCTTGGAGGCAACATTTTAACGAGATTGAAGTAGACAGCGCGCGTAAATTTGCGGTTTTTTTTACCAGCTACTGGGATTTTTTTAAAGTGCAGTGAAATTACATTTTGGTACCCAGTCACTCCGTCTTGGGACGAGACTTCACCAGTTACCTGTAGGTCATTAGAACAGTAATTTTCTTTTGCCATGAGTTGGCTAATAATTGTCCACTATTTACCATTATAAAGGGTGAGTTGTCCGTAAGAGGTAAATGGACTACACGCGCTTGAGGACACTTGATGAAGACACGACCCCTAGAAAAATATCAATAGTCATTATTACGGGACTATTACAAAACGTGTCTAACTTTTTATTTATTTAATAGAAGTGGAAATCAATTTATATTAATACTAGCGGACCGGACAGACGTTGTCTTGTACACACGTCTTAAATTCGAAAAGTTCAAACTTTTTTGAATAACTGTGATTCTAAACCATTCTGGAATCCACCTGAACACAAACAAACAATTTCATTCAAATCCATGCAGTTGTTTAGTACGAGTTCAGTGACATACACACGTACAGAAGGATTATATATGTAAAGATTATTACTGTAGTATCATCTTTATTACCTTTATGCTGTACCCTAACGTTCCCTGGTAGAAATTGCTACTTTAGCAGTAGCCGCCTGTATGAACACTATGTTTCCTGTATTTTCTTTCTATGCATTTCCTTTATGTTAAATATGGTATATTATATTCTATTCTATCATTGTATTTTTTTACTTGGGAAAGTGGCATACGAGCTGGTTCACCTGATGTTAAGTGATAACCTCCGCCCATGGACATTTGCAACACCCATAGGGCAAATGCCTTGCCACCTTTCAATAAAGTGAGCCCATTTATGTCAGGTTCCTATATTCAACGGACGGCCGTTAGTTACATAGCCTCGTAACTTTGGACTTCTAGATTAAAGGAACGCTAGTAACTCACTTTCCGTAGGTAATGCAACGGCTCGTAAGGAAAACGCCTCGCTTTGTTAATATAGAAACCGCGCGTATACGCCTTTTATGTCGTTATGAAAGTTACGAAGCTATGTAACTAACGGCCGTTCATTGAATATAGGAACCGAGCATTAGACGTGTAACACTTCTACTTTACGCCGGGTCTTCTGTTAGGTCGTGGTACTTACCCAGACGAACCTGCTCATTCGTACCACAGTAGGGACACTGTTGCGTGGCCCTACAAAAGTTAAAAAGTGTATGTTATAAAGTATCAAGTGTTGCATCAGTTCTCGTCGCCGAAATGATCGAACTGTTACACTGTATGGATTTTCTGCATAAATCAGCAATCTTGAATTATCCAATAATTTCTTTAGTGTAAGGCCAGTCAACGTACACACTCCGATTAACATCTTTTTTTTATCAAGTTGTGTGTCGTTATTAAAAGTCCTTTACACTAAAAGTTGTTTTGTAAAAAGGACCCACAGAGCGCCATCCTTACAAAACGCAAGCCAATTCCGCTTTCGATCCCCATCCGCCCCGCGGGCAGGGACCCTTCGGCCCGCCCGCGCCCCTCAAATTGAATAATGGCCAGCTCGCCTCAACTAAGTGGATTCTATTTTGCTTCACGTGCCCCGACCGAACCGCGTATCTCGTTTGTATGATGCCCGAATATACGACTTAAGGCAACGCTTTCTACATAATTATATCATTTGTGTATACTCGCATTCACATCCGCACTTATACGTGTATGGAGGAACAACGCTGGCTCTGTTTCCACGCGCACGTGAGATAATTCATTGGAACTGTGTTTGTTTTCTATTTGCTCGCGTAATTGGATTTTTATAGGGTTGCGGGGAAAGCTTTGTGCTTTGTTTTCATTCGTTGCGTCACGTCGGAGGCATATTCGGTCCTTGTTGTGAGGGCCCTTTTTCCTTTCCAATCAGGCCCAGCGATTGGCCCAGAGCTTTATTCATAGCGGAAAACATATCACATACCTTTGCATCAACGATTCTCGAAGTTGTGATTATTTATTAATCCGGGTCGATGTATAAATTGAAATATTTTATAATATGGGATAATGATATCTGGGCGTGAGAAATCTGAAAAAGATACATGCCTCTGGGATTCGACCCCGGACATAGATAGATACTTGATCTCCCATTCATTTGGCCTAAGGTTATATATTACATTTCCACTCAAATTTGAAAGAAGGCCCTGAACAAACAAACAAAAAGCACTAAAGCTTGCAAAGAGGAAAGTCTTTTTGGAGGCTTTCGCTTTGCTATGGTACATAATGGGATCATAGTAATTAAACATATAAAAGTTTTGATGCTTGAATCCAGTCAGCATAAATATTTTTATGCTGACTGTATTCATATTATTATGATTATATATATTGTAAAGAGGTATTATATGTTCTTTTTCTATAACGCCTGTTTGCGGGAAGTGCTTCAGAATTTAACATTTTGAATTTTATACATTATTTGAATTTCATTTTTTTAGTTGGTGAGGGCGGTGGGGCCATTGGGTTATATATTAAATATACAAAAAAGTTGCTTGGTTACTGAATGAGAAATACGATTTTTGTATGGTGTAATGAAAATCAAGCTATAAATAGTAAAATAATTTTTCAGTTAACTAATAACAAGACTCCATGCCAGAGGTGCTTGTTAATTTTAATTTTAAAAATTTATGTTTCCGCCCGAACGTAATAATCGTAGTGGGTACCTACTACGTCACGCCAAGTGCCTTGACCTAATCTCGCCATCAGCGCCGCTTTAGGTCGAATTTTCATTATAATTGTGGCACTAGACCCAGTTTCATATATACACGTTTGAATATTGAAAAAATTATCTACCTCAGATTACTAACATGTGACTAGACTTTTTTAATTCACCTAAAGATATAATTTTCCCTTTAAAATAGAGCTTAGGCGGGTCGGATGTATTTATAATATTATTGTAATATAAAATTTGTCCCACATTTAAGCCCAACGGACGTTTCCTGGCCTGAAAGAGATTTTTTCCGTTATTTGTAGGGAAGGCAGTGTCTATTTCTCTGATATTATTGTTTTTTCAAATATTAAACACCGATTATTGAACGTCCTACTTCAAACACGTAAACAAATGAAATATCTCTAAAAGATACATACAGTCGAATAGCCATTTCAAAACTGGGCTATTTCCAAATGAACGAAACCAATCTTTTGAAATACTAAGGCCATTTTCGGGTTGTGCTACAAATCGAAGTCTAGCCGAGCAGGATTCAGCGACCTTCAGTTAGCCAAGGGTCAGCAATAAATCCTTAGTCTGTGTGGAGATTCATTTACATTCGTCTTGTTTCATTGCAGGCGCAGAGTGACGATGACGACGTTGGGCCCGACGATGTCAACGTCGCCGTCGAAGGCGGCTTCATGGACGAATTCTTCAGTGAGGTGAGTGGACTTTCTTCAACGCATATTTCAAGCACAGTTAAGCGACGTATTTTTGTAGCGAAGTCAACGTGTGAAGTGAATATTAATGATCAGGGCTGCCAGTAGAGCATAAACAACTTATTTCATTGTTTTTGTATTTCAAATCAAAAATAAAATACTATTCAAAGGTTTTTGAATCATACAAATAAATTTTATATGCATGAAACACTGATCGGGAACTGTATTCCAATACGACTGTTTTTTATTTAAAAGAACGTCTGATCACTCGATATTTCTCATATAAGCCAAGTTAGGAGGAAAGTGCATTTACACACAATTAGGTTGAGGTACTGCAATCCTTCATTTATATATCATTAAGAAAACATTGCCCTTACTGTATATAAACTGCATTATCCTGTGAGGTAAACACGTTTTATACATATTTAAATTTCACGTCCAGCAAAACCCAGATCCGAAGCAATTATTTGCGGGTCACACAACTAGTTGTCTCATGTGGGAATCGAACCCACGAACGACGCTTAAGCAATTCATAGAAATCTACAATACGAACAATTGTTTTAAAAACTCACAAACATCGTTCTATTTGTACTACCTCAAACAGTCGAGCTTTATCCTAAGTGAATTAAGCTACTTTAATAAATTGCAGATTTTACAACGATAAACTTATTTGTTTAATTTGTATTGCAAATTCAAATCGGCGTTATTCGACACAGATAGCGCTAATCCGATTGTAGAAGTCTGTTCAATAGTAATCAATCAACAGGTCCATAAACCTTTAGAGGAGGGACCTACCTATGGCGGATGTGTGTGCGGATGTATGTGTTCTGCGCTCGATGAAGCTTTAATGGTTTACGAAACATATGGATCTTATATAGCTTTATTGACTTGGCAACTCGTCCAAGTCACTAAATCTCATATCTTCTACCCCACGTAAAAGCTCACGTCTTGTCGAAAGAGCGGAAAGTTAAATTAGTTGAAAATACTTAACTGCGGTGCTCATTGGTGATTAAAACTCGTACCGCGTTTTACGCGGTATAGATGTGGTTTAATTACAAACTTTCGTTAAATACAAGTCTGTAATTTTTTACTAACAAAATTAAAATCTGAAAGGGGTAAGAAACATTCGAAAATGTCCTTTTGATAAAAACATTTATTTCGTGCCAGTATTAGACCTCATGAATTCGAGCTATTAAAGTTATTTTCTTAATAATTATAATGTTTGGTTCTTATTTAACAATCCACTTTAAAATTTGATATAATTATTACATACCACAGTGCCAATTTTAGTTAAGGCAAATGAAAACGGTTTGCGTATAATTTGCCAATTTGCATAGTGTACACACGAATTAATTAATAAGTTATTACGCCATTCTTGTAACCGCATAAATTACATTAGTCACTGAATTCACTCGACGCCGTTGAGCCGCCACCTAGCGAGCGAAATTAAAACTTTGGGTTTTCCCGCCTTTATGAGGGTACCGCATTAACGAGGAAGTACGCAACAATGTTGCCAGTTTTCATTGTGCATAGCCTTTATGAAAGTTGGAGCCTGCTACGTTATTGTGACGTGCTAGTAAATTTAATGTTTATTTCATATGTACACAATTCCTCTATTTGCAAGTTCAAGTGACAATTGTTTTTTGGCAAATCTAAATCAATTTGCTGATCCTGCTATTACGTTAAATTGCGGTTTTAATTATTAGTTATTTCAGTAGCTTTTGGATTATATTAGGATTTTCAAAATCAGAATTTCAAAACAGATGTATGAATTTACAGACTGAACACCAAAGTATAGTTATAGGTGAGTATACCTATGTCTATATGCATAGTTTTTATTTTCAGATAATAAAGTCATAAAACTATTTTCCTAAGGCAACTAAAATCGAAAACAGATAGATTGTTTTCGTTGATTGTTTAAATACACAGCCATTTAAAAAAGTAAATATACACAACCACGCGCGTAGATCGTATTGAAATGAAAAACAAAAAAAGACTATCCAGCCAACCAACGCTACCGAGAACGCCTGGTTTCTGAAACATTGATTATCGTAGAAGTTAACTAATCAGCTGTCAAATGGCTTGTCAAATGTCATTTGATTGATCAGAATGATCAATTCAGAGTTTAAACATTAGACAGCAAATGATGTACATTTGGCATCAAACTTACTTAGTCCCAAACTAAACAATTTAGCGGTCTTGTCGCCGTATGCCGGACAGTATTTCAGTGAGCGATTTTTTGAAAGGGAATGGAATCCAAAATCTCAAATCTCAAGGACGATATAAGTGTCGAAACTCGCATGATATGCTTGCCACGACAGAGAAAAATGACAATAATGACGAATTTTTTGATTTATTATATTAAACGATCACAGTTAAGAACAAGGTTTTCAGCCATTTTTAGCTTTAAACTTAAGAGTAACATGTTCTATTATTAATATAAATGAATTCTACCCAGATAGTATGGTCTTAATCATACTGTCCTAAACTATACTCTAAACGTGAAAGCCAAGTCCTGTAACTAGCTTATCAATGTCATACACAGGCGTCGCGCAGAATAAATTATTTTCATATATTTTTTTGCTTTTCCTCCGGCTCGTTGGCCCCTTTTATTTATCATAGGTTTTGCGGCTTTCGCTTCAGTAAACAATCATAATGTTCGTGCGATAATAACATCAGTGTCCTGCTCGATTTGAACAAATGAATATTAAGCAACCTATATATATTATAGCTCGTCAAAATATGGTTAATATTCGGAACATATCGAAGAATACATACAATGTATTCTTCGATATGGTTCAACCAATTTATTAAAAGGTGGCACAATGCATCTGCAACCCAGCGGGTTAGGCGAATGTCAATGGGCGGCGGCTGTCATTTAACATCAGCTGAACCGTCAGCTCCTTTGCCAACTTCTCACATGAAAAAATTGAATATAAAGTAGGTATAAAACAAGTTTTGAAACACGTGGAAAATAAATTACGAAATGAGAAAACAATTTTAATTGAGAAGCTTAAAATAATCGAGCTTCTGAATTCATTTATAGCCTAGCAGAAAAATTTATTATTACTGATTCTGATAAATTTGTTATAACTGATTAACCGTAGTTTATATGGAGGATAGTTAATATGGAGCGTTATTTGTTTTATTTTTAAAATGGCAATATTGAATTTTTGACGATGGTCTTTTACGATAATTCTTTTCGAATTCCGCTTCATTTGAATAATTTAAATTGAATTATTTTCTCCTCCTAGTTTGATTATCCAACGATTAATATCCATCTACCATTTCGCGATCCTCATAAATTACGAGTTTTGAAACTTCGATTAATGCCTCATTTTCATCAAGTTTAATCGCTCTGCGATCGCTTATTGCTGAACGATTAATATAAAGTAAGCTTATCCCGATCTAAGCACAACAATTACTCTTCGTAAAGACCTATAAACTCTTATTACAAGCAGTTAGTCGGTTATTACGCCGCATGTAGTGTCGGTTATTATGGAACAAATTAATGTTTAATAATCTCGTAGATTTAGAATCGCGGTAGTGTTTTAGCGATATAATATGTTTATTATATCATTCACAGCGCCTGCATTTTAACTTGTAATCATTACTCAATACTGATTGAGCCACGAGAGAGTAAATTAAATTATTTTAATGATTGAAATTAGCTTTAAAATATGTAGTTGTAGCTATTGAACTACCTAACTCTGCTTTCTATTTCTTGGTTTATTGCGCGTTATACAAGATTCGTGAAAACGTCGCTGAATGTTGGCCGCATGCGTTTTAATTTCATCGCTTGTTCTCTACGAGTGGGTGGTGTTTATATTCATTTCGTGTCCTGAATTCATTCATAGTAATAATACACAAACATGTGAATGTGTCTGAGGATCGTGGCGCCGTTGACATGTCAATTATACATATATGTATAAGAAATTCTAGAGGATAATAGCAAATAGCATTTCGGTTATGTTTTTAACCTACATATTTTAATTTTTAACCTCGTTTATGAAAACCTTTTAAGATAAGTCTATGTGATGAATTAAAACAAATAATATTTATAATATCGTATTTTTATAAATGTATAATACGTAGAGTAAATATTGTATGTTTATAAATTTCAAAAGCATCCTCTAAAAAGCTTAAATTGAACCTGGCGGAAGTGGCAGCTTTTCATTCATCATCTTGTAATTTCAGCAATTCTTTTTCTCTCCCAACAAAAAGCAAGAATCCACCTGAACGTGAGCACTGCGCCAAATTACTTTACGTTGTCATAAGCGGTTGGAAACACAGTGTCGCTTCCACGTCCTGTATCATTTCCGGGACGCGTTGGAAAGGTGTCACATTCTCATTTCCGACAAGACCGGGAAGATTCAAAATTGCATATAATTTTGTATATTTCCTAAATAACATATCTGGGTAAATATTATATACTATTATATCCTTACTAATATTATAAAGGCGATAGTTTGTATGAATGGATGGATGTTTGTTTCTATTTCACGCAAATACTACTGAATGGATTTTAGTGAAACTTTGCAATATTATAGCTTATACATCAGAATAACACATAGGCTATAAATTATATACATATTTTATGAATTTCTTTCTGAATGTTACGCCCTCAGCCTATTCTACGCGGACGTAGTCGCGAGCAGCAGCTAGTAATATTATAAAGGCGAACGTTTTGTATGTATGGATGGATGTTTATTACTCTTTCACGCAAATACTACTGAATAGATTTAATGAAACTTTGCAATATTATAGCTTATACATCAGAATTACACATAGGCTATAATTTATAGACATATGTTATGAATAACTGTCTGAATGTTACGCCTTAGCCTATTCTACGCAGACGTAGTCGCGGGCAGCAGCTAGTATTATATACTTCTCATGTTTTGTGTTTATCACTCAACCAGATTCCGCTCATGTCACATGGTAAAATAGTTACAGTACTGGTTCAAAAACAACACTTCACGATCTCTGCACAATTTTCCTGT